ATTGATTTCAACTGACTTCAACTGACTCCAGACAAGTCATATCTGACCGAGTCTATTGGCCTTTTTTTCAAAACTTGTCATTGTTGTATTCCCATGCTAGAACAAATGTCGTGTTATGAAATTCGAATTCCCACAACAGAACAAATTCTTCTATTTTGGGAATTGGATCCTTTGATAGAGCAAAATGTTCCGTTTTGGGGAATAAAACATTAACGAGTTCATACTAGCTCACAGCTCAAGGGAGCTAGAGCTCGTTGAAAAGCTAATGTCCTTCACAGTTGAAATACGCTATCACATCCCTGGAGTCCATCAGACCCATCGAATCTCATAGGATCTTTTATTTTACCTTCTAAGTACACCACATCAGATGACTCCACTTGATTCCAAGTGAGTTCACAAGACCGTCATCCCATCTAGTCTGCTATTTCTCTCGTGGGCTCCACCCTATCACCTGATTCCACCTCATCAATTAACTCCAATGCATCAAGCGACTTCACTTGACTCCATTTGACTCCAAATGACTTCATGCGTCTGGAGTCCGCTGTTCCCCCTTGGGGTGGACAAGAGTATATGCTCTGGGTTATATCAATACTTTGGAAACTGCTTTCGCCCCACTACTCCAGGATATTATAAATCGTCGCGATGCCGACCCCTTGTCGACAGTGAATCAAAATTCAGCTTTCTTAATTTGGAATGCTACGATAGATGATTGGCAAGAGCTGCCTTTCTTCTAGTTTGTAGTCAATGTTCTTTTTTTCTATCCTTAAAGTATTAAGTAAAACTTCCGATTGATACTTGTTGATTTCTGAGTTCATGTTGCGCATAAGTATCTCAGAATAACTTTCTCACAGAGCAATTGCAACTTCTTGTAAAAAACTAAAAAAGCTGCTAGTGGGATGTAAATTACCTTAGGTGATCTTACCAGCTGCGCGTTTCAGCCGATAATTTTCTCGAGAGCCGCTATCGAAGTGGGAGATTGTCTATTTTTATTTGTCATGCTTTTAGACAGCGACCAAACTAGCCACTTGACTTTGAAGGGGTGTACATTTTTTTTAAAAAGTTTCTTCAAAAACTATTGCTAAAAAGATTTTTCCCGTAAAAAAAAGGTCATTTTTACCCCAAAAAAGCGAAAAGTGACCCTTTTGCAAAATGAAATTTCGTCCGAGGTAGTATCACTTTCATTTTCGGGCCATCCGAGATAGTGCCTGTTCAAATTTTTTTGGATTATTGCGGGGGTGTACACCCCCTACACCTCCCCTATAAATCGGTCCCTGGTTTCAGAGCCTTTAGAGTATCTCATACAAAACTAGATAGCAACGACGCTACGGTTAGTATGCAAAGGTGACAGAGTGGCTACCTCTAGCAATCCTTCTTGAAACATAGATAGACCTGGTTATTATGAAGTATTACTCATTTTTTTTATTACATATGATAATCCTTATCAGCCTAGTGTTGTTACTAAGGACTGACAAAAGCACTCAGTTCGATTCAAAAAAATAAGGATTGGCTCTATGCTCGAAGTAAGGATTGCGAAACACGCAGTTTGATTCAAAAAATAAGGATTGATTAACTAAAAATAACAGTCAATCAGCGAATGCAATTCTTGGTGGTGTGGCCTCCGGATTCGCCGGAAAAACGTATAGAAGCACAGTTTCAAATAACTGTTTGGGGTATACGGCTGGCGCGTACAGTCACCTATGATGAGCAGTCGCAGCTGTAAAGCAGCTCGCTTTTACTACTGGACTTATCAGTTTGGGGTGGGAATTATCAAACTCACGTTCTGTTTTTAGTGTTTAAAGAAGGTGCGATTGAAGTAAGTTCACAAAGATATACTTGTTGTTTCTGTATTTGAACATTTTTATTTCAGTTTTAATACAGGCCTTCCTTTTCACCTAAAACAAAATGTCTGAACTTTCAAGTTACAAAAGAAGTCTCAGAAAAGATTCCAGACTGAAATGTCTTTTTCCGCCGACCTAGTCACAGGTAATCGTCCACGATTGGAAGGCTTCGCCGGTAATTGAAGTGTGGCAATTAGTATCAGTCGATTCGAAGATACCGCCAACGACATTGTTACAGTTGGCATCACTGTACAGCATGACCAGACAGTCGGGGTCCAGGGAGCGCTTGATAGTTGACACGCCAGAGCCATTTGTGATGCCTCGTCTGCAACCAGTAGTGCCAACACCAGAATATCGGTCGTCCTCACCAGTGCACTGTGCATTCTGATAAATACTGAAGTCCCACTCGACGTTGGCACGCTGCAAGTTCTTGGCTGATATTGTGGCGACGAGCATGCCGAGAACGACGACAATGGAAAGGGCCAGGGTCTTCATTGTTCTTTTGGTTTGCGGGAGATGGTGTGGTAGGTGAAGATGATCTGAGGTCGGCTAGTTACCTAAAATGAGATGGGATAGCAAGGTAAGAGTTCCACGTTTAAAGTAAAAGTAAATTGAGAGTATCTGAGGATTTTAGTTTTCCTGAAGTAAGCAAAGGTATGAATCGGAAAAAACAGTATTTTCGAAAAATGTTAAAAAATTAAACTTTTTATGTACCTTCGGACAATGGCTTAAAAACTTTATCTGCGGCAGTCCTATACACGCAGAAATTTATGCTATATCGAATCGTCGACTTAGATTTGTTTTTGTAAAATATTAAACTCAGTCGCAGAGATGGGCAAGTCCGACGTTGTCTAAGTCTATTGCAGCAAAAACGTTTCGTCATGCTAATCAGGTAGAAAAGAGAAAGTTTCATTTCTTGCTTAAAAGGCGATTTTTGAGACGCCGATGTTCATTCACATTTTCGCAATTAGGTGCAAATGAATGACAGACTCGACCACGTGCGTTGGCGAAACCTGACATACCTTGTTTTAATAGAAACTTAACTTATACTCGAGTTTCGTGTGTGAAGAAGCTGGTAGTTTACGTTTATGATTAGGAGCCTAAAAATAAAAATATTGGAAGGAAAAGAGCTTGACCCCTAAATGTTCTTTATATCTAACTTATCAAAGATTGGAAAACCAGAAACATAATCCCGTCTCAGCTTATTACTTGCAGTTGGCTCATATGATCGCGATACTCAAAGAAATGCGTCGTATTCGCTGTCTTGTCTCTCTAGCGCTATTTCTCAATGGCCTTATGCACTATCTCTCAACTTACGTCTTTCTTCGTTTTAAATTTGATTGTCAGCTATTTTCTGCTTTCTTTGGTATTAAGAAAAAGTAAATGGCTCTACGTAACTTATATAAGAAGCTCGTTGAAAAGCTAATGTCCTTCACAGTTGAAATACGCCATCAGATCCCCGTAGCGTAACGTATATAAGAGAAATTAAGGTTTACTTCAGAATTATGAAAATAAATAATGATTCAGTCGCGCATTGATGTCCTTTGTTATAGCGAAACAATAAATCCAATGTCTTATCATTCGTCAGCACAAATTTCTAATAAGGCTTCAAGTGGGCGACTCGAGAATCGAAGTTTGATTTTTTTTATGTATTATTCACCTTTACAAGAAAAAGATTAATCTAGATGTTTTATTCATGAGTAATACATTTACTTGTTTGTTTTGATATGCGGGGGCAAACTCTCAGAGAGAGAAAGACACAGGTTTGAAGTCGTATACTCAGAATACGCATGAAAGATAATTCTAGAGATTTTGAGTTAAAAACACAAAATTTTTTCTCAGATTTT